GATTACCTGACGGAGCCCCCGGTTGAAGATCATCTCTCTCCGGAGCACATACCGGAGCCAATTGGTCAAGACCACAACGAGTCTCCGCCACCTGTGCAACCTGCAGAATCGAACGAGGATCTCCCTTCCGGAAACGGATCCCCCACGCAACCTGCGGAATCAGACAATGTCATAGCACTACAGCCAGGGCGCTGTGCGTACTATGCCATTAATGTAGGTCTCCTTGCTTACAATTGTAGTCCTTATACTGTTGCTGATTTCGCAGACGTTGTTCGCTGGATAGAAGAAGAGCACCGTGCCGTCTGCCCAGAGGATGACAGCGCTGCGCCTGGGGTGAACATAGAAGTCCTGGCTATGGCATTTATGGGTAGGCGACTGCAATTCCAGCCTGCTCCACAAAACCACGAGCCAGGCATGGATCTGAATATCCGGGCGTATATCTTATATCGTCCAGGTCACTTCCGTGCTCTTACCTTTGCAGGTAATTCATGGACCCTATGGGACAATGGCGGTAGGGTGCACACAGTGGGAAATATTAACTCTTTCTATCACCAAATGCTGGAGGGTCACTCAGTCTGGCTCATCCATCAGGAACAGTATGTCGATGAGCACTTGCAAGCACTGCACCCCCCGGAGAGCAATCCGGCTGATTCTACCACAAACAGTGAAAGGACCTCTCCACAGGATGATGGCTGTGCCCTCCTGTTGTGTCGTCTCACAGGTGCAGTTCGGTTGGCATGTACACGACATAGCCTCTGCTCCGAACACTATGAAGGGATGGTTGCTGCTAGCCTCTCACACGAAAACTGTGATGCCCAGTCCTGTGCTCATCACCCCCACCCCCTGATTACTTGCCCAGCATGCCGTTGTGGCCTTGATCTGCCATGCTTAAATAAGTGTGCACGTCAGCCTTCCATGCTAATGACATGTCAGCAACATGCCATGTGTCGTCAATGCTTCCAGGAAGCTGTCATAGAAAGTATGTGTCTTTACTGCGTGGGTTATCCCCGGTGCCATCACCCTTCACATCCTCTCCTAGCATGTCCCACATGCGGTATTGGTCATACACCTACGGCAACCGCTGATGGATCTCCCTCTTTCTTGCCAGGAGAACAACGAACACAGCAGTCCGAGGAGGAAAATAGACTTCTATATGAACCACCGGCAGAGCGATGTGCTCATAGTTTATCACCACCAGGGCGAGCTGTTGCGGATCATATCCTGCAGCAGCTGAATGCCCTTGCGTTGGACCGATCCTCCCTGTCGTCATCTGCCCATAGAGAAGGAATACATACTAGGAAGCCCAAGAAAGATGCTCCATGCCGGTTTGTGATGACCCGCCGGAGATTCAACTAGCATGTGGTTCACATGCCTTGTGCCGTGAGGATTATGAAGGTATAATCCATGCGAGTTTTTGCTTCCATACGTACGATGACAGTCAGTACTGTACTCATGTACGGCACCCCTACATGTCATGTCCAATTTAAAGACGGGCTGGAACGGCAATGCCTCTATAACTGCGGTTGACGTGCCTCTGTGTTCCTAGCATGTACGAGCCACGTAGCCTGTGACATCTGTCTGCGCCATGCCATTCGATGCAGCAACTGTGACTGTGAAAATTGGATGCGGTGCTTCCATAGCCCACACCCGAACCGGTCCTGTCTGGTCTGTAGGGGTGGCCACTCGCTATAGTGTTTTTTTTTTTTTTTTTTTTTTTGCTAGAGTAGTCTGGCTTCAGCAGTGAATATTTAGAAATCTGTGAAACCCGTCATACACCTTTCCCCTGCTCTTTGCATGTCATACTCTATCCTGCCCTCCACATATTTCTTTCCTTCTTGTTGCCCCTACCTCCCCTGCCCCATACTCCTAGAGAACTCCGCTTTCTATCCCTTACCCTCCACCCTCCCCTCCACTCCCTTTGTACTACTAACAAATACATACGAATGAGCATCATTAAGAGAATAGACGATATGAAGATCAGAAATGAAATGAACGGAAGTATGAAGATGAAGGACGGACACAAAGACTGTATAAGCTGAAGATCTGAAGTGAAATGAACAGGAGTATGAAGCTCTGAAGAGATGCACAGGAGCATACCTTCCCTTTTACTCTGCCTCCTGAAATAACGTGCAAGTGGGCCGTGAAGGCACACAGGGATGTGGGCAGCTGCTGCTCAACCACAATCAACGTGGGCAGCCTGTGCATAAGAGGCACAGTAAAAGGGGAGCTGCAAGTACAATGAAAGGGGTACCCCAAGGACAACCAAAAAATTGTCTAATTATAGAATTGCGTTAATACGTTGGACATCTCAAATGCTCTCGTTGTCTGCAATAGGACAAAGACTGCTTTGATTCTGAATCTATTCACCTGGGTGGAATTGGGGCTGTTGTGGGGAAAATCTAAAACACACACACACACACACACACACACACACACAGCCAGCCAGACAGACAAAGGGGGAGAGAGAGAGAGAGAGAGAGAGAGAGAGAGAGAGAGAGAGAGAGACAGAGACAGAGACAGAGACAGAGAGAGAGAGAGAGAGAGAGAGAGAGAGACTCTGCTCATGACTTTAACCGGGACGGACACCAATGAAACATAACGTCTTCTTTTCCTCCCCCTTTCTGACTGAAATGTGACATGCATTCATTTGCAGGTAAGCCAGTCTTCAATCCGTCTGGATATGGTGGCCCTCTCTGGACTGAGTGCAGGGAGAAGAATCTTGAATGGTACCATGGGCATCCGGTTAGCCAGCTGCTGTACATGGTATGCACATCCCAGATGAGAAACTCAGTCTCTGTCTCAACATATTAATCAATATATCAGCTGGTTTCTGCTTTGTCTGTGTTTTTGTCTAAAAAGTTAAAAACTACAAAAATAACTTATGTGAGAAATCTAACATCGGAGGTGTCCCAGACCGGAGAATCTGAGCCCAAAAGGGAATAAAAAAGGGAATAGAAAGCCCAACAAAACAAACAACGACAAACCCACTCCCAAAAATCGGTTTTGCATGGTAGTAATACTAATCCACCCACCATTCCCTACTSCCCAACTTACACAGTCTCTATACCAACCTMAAAAGSCCCAGCTATCCCCTCTACTACATCCCCCCCACCAACGAACCCTCCACACACCTTCCACCAATACCCCCCACCACCTCACCCTACACACACTACCCACACACTGACCAACTACAACGTAGGAGCCAAGCAAAGCCTACAGAGCATCAGTTATTAGATCGGCACCAGCAACTATACAGAATTTCAGCCCATGAGCCGAAATTAGAACTAAAATACAGGGTCTAAGTCTACGGCTATTACGGACTATGGTCTACAGGACTTAAATTCTAGCCGGCAGCCAAGCAACTGGGACGGTCAGGCCAGAGGTAGCTCAGCAGCCAGTCAACAAATGGAGCATAGCAGGATAGCATATCAAGGAGGTCAAAAAAGGAAAATAAGGACTAAAGACCATAGCTAGAGAGTCAATGGAAGACAGACTTAGCTCCTCCAGCAATACACACAGATTCGACAGCTTTACAGCTGTGAGGAAGAACTAGGGAAAGCTCAGATAGTCCGACAGACAGAGACCACATTACAGAGTTCACAACCTCGGAAGGCCTTACAAGCCCAAGATTACGTCGAATAGGCCAACTTAGGCAGGGGTGAATGATGGTACATCCTTCCCATGGGAAGTAACGGGCCTTCCTACCATAAAGGGGAGGAGCGTGTGTGAGTACCTTTTGTAATCATTTCTGACTTGCCGGTGGAATAGGAACCGGACTGATGCTCCCCAGAATGGAAAAGGAGCCAGAACCGTAAGGTTCTGTTTTTTCTTAAAAAAAAAAAAAAAAAAAAAAAAAAAAAAAAAAAAAAAAAAAAAAAAAAAAAAAAACAAAAACAAAAAACATCGGAGGTGTCCGTCTGGTAGTACTGGGCCAACGGCCCATATCAAAGAAAATTGACAAGAGGGCGTGGTTGTGTCCTCCTTCCGTCCCGGTACTTCCCAGGGGAGGATGCCCTGACAAAGCGGCCGTCGGACAACACTCTCCCAAGCTGTCTCAGTCCCTTCCCCTCATGCTGCCTCGCTGCTGGGTTGCCGTTGCACCATCACCCACAGTAGGTGCAACTCCCTGCTGCGACTGCAACTGCATCATGGCCCACACACACTTCTGCCCGCATGTCTGTCTGTGTCTGTGTTTTTTATGTTCACCACAACAGCGCCTGCCGAAACCGATGCAGCTTTACCTCTGTTGCAGACAATGAAAAGCAACATGGAGCAGAATGGATCCATTATATCCCTTTCTTGACTCTCTCTGCTTTGGCTTTCTTTCGGGTGTCCCTTCTGTTTGTTCTTGCAGCTCCCTTTTTACTGTGCCTCTCGCGTACAAAGCTGGTCACGTTGATTGTGCACCAGCTGCCCTCATCCCTGCGTGCCTTAACGACACACTTGCACGTTATGAAAGGAGGCATGGTAAAAAATGGGGATGCTCATGTATGATACATGCTCAATCGAGCAATGTATATGGAGCCAAGGATCCACAAAGTGATGAAAAAGACTGGAATGGACAATGCAGCATCAGCAAAGCATCAACAAACAATGTACATCCAGATACATACGAAAATAGCATAATGTAGTGCAACGAAAGACTCAAAGATATGACCTGACCTGTCAGATACTGACGCAACACCCCATCATACACCACACATGTGAGAGGGGGGAGGGACCGCATACATGGAAGAAAGGTCCCTCCTTGAGCAAGCACATGAGGAGATACCATGGATGAGGAGATGGGGAAGAGGCGAGACGAAGATGGAGGGGAGGGAGAAGACCAAGATTGCGATAGCGAAGTTCAAAATTATCTCCCTGCCGAATGTCCAATCAATGTCTGCCACAAAATGTCGAATCAGATCCTGGGCCTCATGGCCCAATGTAACCTCTACCTGTAACCTCTCTCTCTCTCAAACTTCTTTGAAAGAAGAAGAAGAAGAAGAAGAAGAAGAATGTCGGCCTCCAATCTCACCTCCCGTCGGTAGTGGCTGGCGCTCCCCTCTCGTGCAGGTCGCTGACGTGAAGACCCAGCTACGGCGGCCAGGTTAGTCCTCCGTCGACTGCAGGTATGGCCTCCACCTCTCTCCCTCCTCTCTACCTCCTATCTCGCCTCTACCTCTACCTAGCTCAGCGCCGTGTCGCGCTGCTCCAGCAGCATGTCGCCCAAGAAGTGGACCTACTTGAACTGTGCGTCTGCCCTGGCCTGGCCCAGCTATATGTAGCGCTGGGCCTCGCTGGTGTGCCTCTGGTCCTTGGCCTGAAACGGCCTGCCTGGGTCCCTACCGGACGTCCAGGCCCTCCCTGCTGATGCAACAGGGAGTGTCCGCTACCGGACGAAAACAAACCTGACCCGAAAGGGCCTGGCCACGAATGGAGAAGGCCCAAAATGTGGCCTTGGTTTGAACAGACCGTGTGTCTGTTCGGACGCACTGCAAGTCCGAAACAACGCCTGGAACAGACAGAAATAAGATAGCAAATAAATAAATAAATAAATGCTGCCTCAAATTGAATCCTGCGGCCCTAAGGCCGGCCATGGGCCTCCAGGGCGCACGTCCGAAGGCCTTGCAGCCTGGGGGCCCCCAGCCACCGTTGGGCCCCCAAAATGGGGCCCGTGTGCAGGCTCAGCACGTACCCCTCCCCCCCCCCCCCCCCCCCCCCCCCCCCTTCGTCATGTAGTCAAGCCAGGTCGAGGCCGAAGTTGACGATCCGCTGGTGGAACCTGGACGCGAGTACGGCGTGGAGCCGAAGGTGCCGGCTTGCCATGTTCTTTGCGTTCGTAACGTGCGAGGACATCGGGGGCTGTAGCCTGAAGTTACACACGGGTCAACCAACAGTCAGCCTTATGGTTACAATAGGCAAAGTGTACTAAGTAGTCCGTCGGATGTCACTAACTTCCTGAAAACCGTCCATGGAGGGTGGTATATCTTGCGATCGTCGCGGGAAAATCGTCGCGTTCCACCGAAACGAAAAGAGTCAAATTTGAACAATGAAAGACCGGCTGGACGGGCAAGTGGGCGGTGTCGGAAGACTCGGAACCTCTGGTTCTGGAATAAAGTTCCGGCCCTTGAGACAAAGCATATGGCCCGAATTGTGCACGGCAGAGAAAACCAGGGAATAGGTCAGGAAAAGTTGAGAAGACTAGATGAGCAACAAAATTGGGACCATCGGGACCGCTGGGACCACAGGACCCAAGACGGGACCAGCGGAGTGCGGTGGCAAGTAGGAGCGAGGCTAAGGAGGGCCGCTGCAACACAGGAACACAGACTGAAGAAAGATATGAACTAAGTAGGGAGCCGAACGTAACTAGGAAGATTCTGGGAAAAAACGGGAAAACAGTTTTTCCCAAAACAAAGAAAAGAGGCGCAAACATGAGCGGAATGACGGAGTTCCAAAGCGGAATCGTCTGGAATGACAATGCCTATGAAATATCAAACATGGGGGAGCAACAGAGGCATTTTGCCTAACAAATTATTTTTTTTGCCAGTGAGCGGGCGCCACAAGTGGAATTGTGGGCAGGACAAGCGGTAAGGGCGGATGTTGACGGTCGCGCGACACTAAGCGTTGTAAAGGGAGAAACGAAATAACAAAGGCAGCCCTCCTTGAATAAGGAGGACGGCCAAGAAAAATAAAATAAGGACATCGGCACCATGGGCGAGCGGGTCTAACGACACCAAGGAAAATTGTGCCTTGGTGTGCCGGGACAAAAATCCTTGTCGTGGGCTTAGACGCTCACCCCAGTGTGGCATGAGAAAGGCCAAGAGGGGATGAGACCAGGCAACGGGGGGGGCTGGGGAGCAATCAGAATACTAGGTACTAGTCACACTAGTGTCTAGGCACGTCGAACCAGGGAAAATAAGGGCCTTTGAAATTCTGGGATATTGGGAGCTGCGGTGGGAGCGAGAATTGACTAATTTCAAGGTCCCTAGGCCTTGAAACTGAGAAAGGATTCAAAGGGGTTGCAACGGATTGCAAGGGCCCTGGTTTTGGAAGGACCAGGTGCGGTGAACATGAAAAATTAGGTTCTAGTCTGATCCGGAATAAAACCGGCCAGCAAAGGCAAGGAGAAAATGGCATAGAGGGAGGATTGTAGAGGTAGGAGAGTGTGGGAGTGGAAGAAGGGCAAGCCGCCACATCATGGTCAACTTGCCTCTTCACAAAGGAGGTCCCTTGAACAGTGCTGCATCAAGTCTAGATGCAGTTGGGACAAAAACGATAAAAACGGACACGTGGAGGCCAAGGAAAACACATGTTTTTAAATACATCTTGTGACCAAATCCAGCCGACCGTGAATTGGGCACAAAGGTTGGGGAAAAGGGGGGTTCAGATGCAATGAACCATACCTGTGGCGCATATGTGCGGTGTGCGTGACACGATGCGCTCATCGTCGCTGCGCAAAAAATAAAAGAAGAAAAAAAAAAAACAGTCGTGATGTGTGTATACAGTGTATACACGCGCACGTGCGAGAGAGAGACTCCACTGTCGGGCGCAGCGCTACCAGGAGCGCTGCGCCCGGTCCGACCAAGCACGCCCGTCCGGAACATCGCGATTTCATACAGTAACGGCGTGCTTGCGGTGTGAGCGACCGGTGAGTGGTGGCGGGTGGGAGTACAAGGCGAGGGAGTAAGGTATGGTGGGTATGGCGAGAAGCGATATTTGAGCGCGGTGCCATCTCCCGTGAAGGCAATATAGAAGATGGTTGTTGGGTTGACGAGCATGGATGGCATGGATGAGGTTCGCCGGGCGGCTCCATATGGGCAGGTAGGCTATGGGGGGTTTCCCCTTTTCCTCAACAGTACGGTAAGTAAAAGTCTAGTAAGGCTTGAGTCTCCTGCGGCGACTCACCAACGGGTTTGGTGAGGAGGTGCCGCACTGTCTTCGATTCTTCTTGGGGGATTGAAGATGGCCGTTGAAGTTTTCAGTGCTAGTATTGCCTAGAGCCTAGTGACTAGCAGTGGGAGGGAGGGCGTCTCTCCTCTCCTGAAAACGGTGGGGTAGGGTTTGAGGGGGAAGAGGTAAGTTGGGGTTGTTGAGGAAGTGGGGATGGAGGTTTTTCGTTGGTTGATAGCTTTAGGGTCAGAGTCCTGCCCATGAGTGGATCGGTTAGCTCATACTCAAATAAGTACGAATAAACTTTTGAATTTTGATCTGATTGGATTTTAGAGTTGTCCAATTTTGATGGTTGATTGGAAGGACAAATCTGTGGTGACCATGGAAAAAACCTAAAAACCTAGGCTACCCGAGTGGCATGGGACCACTTGCCCGGCTGGGCCAAAAACAAATAAAAAAATAAAAAATAAAAAATAAACAATTTTTTTTTTAAAATTTGGTAAAGAATTTCGATTTGAGCCTGAGGCAAAAGTTGTTCAGTTTTGTTTCGTGCATAACATAGTTTTTTTTCCGAATTTTTGGATTTTTGTTTTTTGCTGGGACCTTCCCTGGTCCTTGCACAGCCGGACCGCCCGGGAAAACAGGGTGTCCCAGGCGGCCCGGCTGGTAGCCGAGGAAAAAACTAAAAAAAATGATGTCAAATGTACTTTTCAGGGTTGAGGGGGTTAACCAGGGCTGAAAAGTGGGGGTCCCTGTTAACCGCTTATGAAGTCTGCATGGAAGTCCTACACTTTTGGCCCTTGAGGGCCTCAAGCTTTAGCCTTGCCTTGAGCACAGCGTGCTTACCTTGATACTGCGCGATGAGGAGGTCCTCTAGAGTACGCACAGGAGTTACTTTCAACCACTCAGTCAGGTCAATTCTCTCATAACCTGCACTAACAGCTTGGTCAGGAATCCCAGGATCATAACACACAGAAGAAAGGTCCTCCTTGAGCACGCACATGGGGAGAAACCACAACTGAAAGCATGGAGGAAGAGCAAGATGAAGATGGAGGCGAGGGAGAAGACTAGAGTTGCAATAGCGTAGTCCAAATAGTCTCCCTATCGAATGTCCAATCAATGTCTGCCCCTGCGATGCGGGATCAGATCCTGGGCCCAATAGCCCGACATAACCTCTGGCTGTAACCTCCTCTCTCTCTCTCTCTCTCACCCTAACTCCTATGCAGTGCTGAGTGTCGCGCACTGCTCCAGCAGCATGACGCCCAAGGAGAGAACTCCCGTATTTCCAAGCACTGGACTGGCCCAGTTATCTATAGTGCTGGGCCTGGCTGGTGTGCCTGTCGTCTGCTACCGGGGCCGTGCGATCGTAAGTCCCATCGATGGTCCCGGTTGCAGGACCAAGTCTTGGACTGCACATTAGGACGAGGTACTGGCCTGCCTATCGTACATCCAGGTCCTCCGGCTGATACAGCAGGGTACGTGTGGACCGGTTCCTACTGGATGAGCCTGAACCTGGCCTACGTCGGCCAAAACGTGGTCCTTTAGGTCCGAACAGTCACTGGTCTGTTTGGACATGCTGAGAAGTCTGAAACGACACACCTGGAACAGACAAAAACGAACCAGACAAAAGAGTCAGCAACATCAATAAATAAGTAAATAAATAAATAAATAAAGTTTAATAAATGAATGCTGAATCAAAAAGGGGCATGCGTGGAACAAAGTGTATGCCTTACCTGGAAAATGGCCACGTGGGCCGTGTGCAGGCCTCAGCATGCAACAGGGACGGAGGTGCTAAGACTGCATGGGTGGCCCATAAGTTTCTGTTTCAACCAGCAGGACTGAGCATCACAGCCTCTACAACGCTTCTTCGGCAGTGACTGGTGGGAAATCTTGGTGTATGGTGTTCGCACCACCATCAATTGTTTTGTCACCAACTTATCCAGCTGGATATCAAGTGTCAGTGTAAGTGCTACTGATCAGGAGGATCATTTATGTCGCAGTTCAGATGTGTGGCTTGGCCAATTGTCAACTGCAAGTGCTACTGATCAGTGGCATGGTTATGTTTTTGAAAGTGTGACACCGACCCAGAATTATTGCATTGCTGTCTGTGGCACTTCGTTGCTTGACTACTTTTTCAGGTGCGGTCAATTTATGATCTCGGACAAGATACAATTTTCCGAGAAAAGAAAATACCGCCTGGGCCACGTCCACGGCCTCTGTATCTAAGTACTGCAGAGCAGATCGGTAAGTTCTTCCCCAACTAATTGTCACTGACCTATGCTTGTGATTACATAGATTGATCTGCTGGATGTATGAATAGTGCATAGCACATTGGTAAGTGTGATATGAACCTGCCAGGTGTGTGAGTAGTGCTGAGCACATTCTCCTAAGATCATGCTGTGGATCACTCATCATTTGGAGTTCACAGTCTGCCCTCTCCTCTAGAAGTCATAAACAGCAGTCAATTAGTTACTCCAGGCTTTGGGACGTCTCCTGGCTTACTTTTTACTCTGCTAATTACTTAAGTACGGGGTCTTCTGATATGCATACGAAGAGTCTGTCTCCATAGACTTCATGGATGCAAAGGTGAAGAGTAAAGCAGGGAACAGTCAAGTTATGGTTGTGGTTGACATATTTAGTAAGTACGCTGAATTCATTCCCTTGCCAACAGAACCTAAGACAGAGCTAGTCATTAAGAAGTCTTTTGCTCATTGGGGCACAGATAATGGCAATCCTGTAACTATAGTGATAGAGATGTTAGGTTCACTAGCGAAGCCTGCCGAAAGCTAATGAAGGAATGTGGATCCGATTCACTATGTTGTCCTGTAGACACCTTGAAGTGAATGCACAGACAGAGCAGATGCAAATTTAGAACCAGATTGATTGCGATACTCGGTTGCTTATGGTAGCAAGTGCCTGCAACAACTCAGTTCATCTATCAACAACTAGGATGCCTTCTGATCTCCACAGGGTTGGAGATTGCATAGACCCATAGAGTCGTTGACTGCCACCTGGATCTTGCGAGTTTGCACTGATGTATGAGAAAGACGTCAAGAGTCCGAGAACGCTAGACATCATCACAGTGTCACAGTTTGCTGTAGATGATTTCGTATGAGTCTGTCCCAAAGAGTTATTTCCTGTCACAGACCAAAGAGGTCGTACTTGAAGTAGCTACCTGCGTACAGAGGACCATGGGAAGTGGTATCCGTAGTAGGTGGATATGACAGGCCATCATCGTATGTCGCAGATGTGCCTGGACACCTGAGAACGTACCCTATGTTTCATGCTCCAAGTTGCTGATTTGCATACGAAATGATGAATTCCCCTCACTCCGATCAATTGATTCCTCCTGATATGGATGGTATCTATGATGTTGGTCGTATTGTCGATGAAGCAGCACTCAGATCAGGACGAAGTGGAAGACCATAAATGCAATAACAGTATAGGTATCAGTACCAACGCCCAGAAGTCTATAGATGGTTCCCATGAGATGAACTTGCAGGGATTGCTCCCAGGATACTGTCACACTATATGCAGGCTAGCAGAAGCACTATACTAGCCAAGAAAGTTGTAGCCTTTCTCGGAGGACCTTGAAAGTTGAAACTAGGCCGGCGGGAGTGAAAAGATTTCAGCGCTGCAGCTCTGGTCTGAATCTCAGTTCCAGTCCCAAGTTCCAGTCGTGAACCCTGTCCTGGTCATCTATACCTTTTTTTCTTCTTTTTTTTTTCTTTTTTTCTTTTTTTTGGGGGATGGGAGGGGCCCTATCCCTACGAGACCGCCACTCCTTGGCACACCCCTACTCCCCCAGACCTATCCCAGTGTATATCATTCACCTGTCTATCGTCTTGGTGAGGTGACGTGACCTGACAGCGGTCTTAGGCACTAGAGCTGAGCAGGAACCCTGCTCAGCCCTGGTTGAAGCATGGTCGAATGAGCCCCATCGTACAGGTACTTTGGGCCTAGGCGTAAGCATTCTTTCTACAAGTCCCATGGGTAGACCCCTGTTTGTCTCCCCAACTTGCTTGGGCTCCTTAGTGTATGGATCTGGTCATGGACACTTTAGGTCTCACGGGGAGAGTCTTATGGTTCACCCTAGCCAAGGTCTACCCTACGACACCCCCTGAGCAACCTGGGTATACCACCTAGCACAACTGCTATCGGTTATTCCAGTTATGTTGTTGATATGACCTAGAGTTTCTAGCCTATCTTCACGAGGCGCACAGCCACCATCCAAACCCCTTACCGTAATTGTTCACTAGACCCCTTTACAGCCGCCTTTTTTTTTTTGAGTTGTGGTGCTGTTGTTTTGATTACGACCTAAAGGTTCTAGCCTGTTATCAGTAGATGTGCGGCCACCATCCTCCCCTCCAGTCACTTGTGGTTGTACTGTTGTTGTTCTGGTCGTTATTGGTTGTATATCATCTGGAGGTACCCTGGCCTCTGTCATCAGTATGTACATGGCCACCATCCATCCCCATACCTTGGTCACTAGACCCCTTCAGTCATTCTAGTTGTATTATCCTCACATAGAGCAACTCCAGTCTCGGTCGTAAGTAGGTACATGACCACCATCTGCCCCCATACCGATATCATCGACTGAGCCTAGTCTGGTCTATTGGTCAACATGGGAAGCAGACAATTCCACCACTGTCCATCCCCCCAGAAGGTGCCCTACTACAAGTCCCTCTAAGGGAGGATCAACACCCCCAGAAAGCCCCACTCCCCCTGAGGGAGGATTAACACCCAAGGTGGTCTCTAAACCCCTAGAAAGCCCCTGCTGTTGGGATCTCCTTTCCCCATCCCACCTGCAGCCCTGCCCCCCGAAAGCAAGGCCCCAAGGTAGCCACTATGTTATCATCCACTCCCGAACGCCTACCTGGCCCATTTCTGCCTGCAGCCCAACTATCTCTGTATTGTGCATCAGGCCGATTGGAATCGAACCCGAACCTCTTCATTACAGCACTTAGGTGTACCGACTGAGCGATTGCAACTGATCTCTGTATGCGCTTTACTAGGCTGGGGGACAAGTATGTGGGGTGCCAACCTAGCACCAACTGATCATGTGCAGGGGAGGTTGATGGCCAATGGAATCGAACCCGCAACCTCCCCGTTGCAATGCCAGAGGTCTAACCAACTGAGCTACCATGTCTGGTACCATGTTCCTGTGTCCCAGGTAGGTTAGTTGTCGAGTAGGCTGACTTAAGAAGATTTCAGTAGTTCCAGTAGACTTAGAAAATCTGTAGAAATGGGTAGGCCCTTTTTGTCAGTCGGTCCAGTCAGCAGCAAATCCCAGGAAAGTCCGCAGACTTGTGGAAGCAGCAGACATTGGCAGAGTACTGGACTCATAACTGGTAGAGGAAGTCCGGAAGGCGAATCGTCAAGCACGAAAGTCCAGATGTGAAAGCCATCAATACACATTGACTAGCCTCATCAGGTGGAAGTGCGGCTGCCCTATTCTGGGATCTGCTGTCTTGCACTGCTTGTAGGAAGTAGTCGACAGTGCTGGGTGCCAGTAGCCACAGCTAGCCTAAGTGTCCGAGAGAGGGAGAGAACGAGAAGTAGTCAGAGAGACGTGGGGCCACAGAGAGAGTTGAGTGAGGTTGAAGGGAGAAGAGGGGCTACCTGAGAGAGCTTGCCTGGGGGCCATGGCCGCCCATCTTGTACAAAGGCGATTTTGTGTTATTGAGTTGATTGGCAACATTATCTTTGAGAGACATCTCAGGTGTGCTTTTTGGGTGTGCGTTGTATGGCGTGAGCATCATGTGGAAGTGTTTTGCATGGTTGGTCTCAGAGAAATGAGGTTGTGGGGGAAAGGTGACTTTATTCACCCTTCAGATCTCGCTTCTCTGAAGACTTCGTCATTGAAAACTAAAAAGTAAAATTCGTATGATGTGGAGGAGCAAAAGCTTTCATCAACAGCAACTTGAGCAATATGCAGCTGAATTGGGCAGGTGAGGCCTCTTTAGAAGCGGAATTTCAAGGCACACAAGGTTAACCATTAAACCACAAGTACCTCCGAGCCACGTTGACCCATGGCGGATTTCCACTATGTGCCAAAAAAAAGGAATCGTCACAGGCTATTTTTTGTTTCTTTTTGTTTGGGGTGGCACCACCAGCCACTTTGGTCTGGTAGCTCTGTTCATTGAAAAAGCCTGTGGGGCCCAGTGGGGGTCAAAATTTTCCAAAAGTTTGACTGGGAGAGGTATTGGTGTCTTAATGAAACGGATATGAAAGATGCCTATAAAGGAAGAACGTATCTTTGTAAAAATGACTTGGCTGCTGTGGGCACTCTGCTACTGTTGCCAGACAGCTGGCTGACCAGTTGACTGGTCAGAAGCCAACTGGTTGGGGGTTGCCAACCGTCAGTGCTGCTACTCTGAACGCACTCCTTTAAATCCCTTTTAACCGTCTTTATACCCGTTGTCCCCTCAGGTGCACTAGGCAAATGCAAACATAAGGCCAGACTCTGTCTGTCACTCCTTTTGTCTTTGCGGTTAGAAGAAGAAGAAGAACAAGAAGAAGAAGAAGAAGAAGAAGAAGAAGAAGAAGAAGAAGAAGGTGGTCGGGATCCAGTAAGATTAGTCATCTGGTTTGATTATCTTTGGCGATCCAGTACGATCAGTCGTTTGTTTGTTATCTTCTCAAATTTGGTGTCCTTCAGTAAGGTGCCAACAGTCAACTGAGTCAGTTTCTCTTGGATAGGTTCACCCATGGCCATTGTTGACTTGCTCCAGTGCAGTTTTTCACTGTTTTCGGAATGGACTCTGTTTTTAATGCCTTCTAATTTTTCCAAACTCTCTGTTTGGCTCTCGAATCTCTCAGGTATCCTACCATCACCTGGTGTGCCAAGCTTGCTGAAGGCTCTGTTTCCGGTTCATACTGAGGGCCTTTGTGTAAAGTGGGTACCTCAACTTGAAGTATAAGTATTATCTGAAGTGCCTGCCTTCCCTCCACTTCGCATTCAATATTTTAAAACAAACAACCACAGGTGCACCACAGCCTTTCAGCAGTAGGAATAAGATGAGATGCACACAGTCGAAATGACACAGCTGCAAAAAACCACTCGTACAACGATTGCAACAGTGTATCTGCCCTTATTTTGGGCATAAAGATTACGTACACGACATAAACCAACAGAGCACAAACATCCTCTCTCTCTCTCTCTCTCTCTCTCTCTCTCTCTCTCTCTCTCTCTCTCTCTCTCTCTCTCTCTCTCTCTCTCGCTCTCTCATGCTCATGCAAAGTGGTGCATGCCCGATCTCACAAAGCAAAGAAAGAAAGAGCACTCGGCAGCACCATTATGTGATAGTATGTGGGCTCGGTGGTGTTATGTGGCGTGGAATACTGTGCAGGTTGGTTGGTACCATGTGGACTGGGTGGTCTGGCTGTGGGGTATTATGTGGGTTGGGCCATTCTATGTGGACAGGATGGTACTACGTGACCTGCAATTGTGGGATAGCTGGGTGATGCTACATGCTAGAACAGTCGTGAGATACGTGTTCGAGCACTGTGCACGCTGAGCGTACAGATAGGAGAGCGGCGCAGTAGTCATCCAATTCGAAAGACAGACTAGTCAGAACACTCACAGATCATTACCGCATCGGTCGTCAGTTACTCAACCATTGCCATAGCTTCTACTCCTTGGTTACCATACCTAGTCGTAAGTCACATCCACCTTCATTGCATAAGACCATATTCATTCATTTCATTCATATGACTTAATGACACAACTATGCTCAAGACTTCAAATAGCGTAGAGACTCCACACTAGTAGACCTTACAAGTGTAGAGACCCCGCACTGGTAGACAATTTCACAGAGGAGATAGGAAAAAATACAACTCCTTTCGAAGTACTCGTGAGATGTATCGGTGAAGCACAGAGGTGATGATCAAGCAGCGTCCTGCTTTCTCATCCTGGCATGAACGCCCAACATGTTTCTACTGCTGCCAGTTACAGCGTCATCAGGGGCTACTCGAAAGGTAAGATTAACCTCCGCCTGTGTTGTCTTAAATACTTCATGTCTACCGCTGTTTTCCTCTGCTCACATACAGTACTCCCGTCATCTGCTCCTACCTGCCAAACATTCAAAAATTCGGGAATGAATTTCGGCCGCACACCTGTCCCCTATGCTCCCCTTGTCCGCGCTCTTTTTGAAAAATAAAAAGAAGAATAAAAAGAAAATAGTTCCGTGCCGTGCGCCCGCTTACTGCGCTTGTCTCTACTGATTCTCAAAAAAACGTGTAGGCTTCGTGACCGCCTTTTTTTTCAGCGCCATGTACTCCCATACACGTCAGAGGCTCACAATTGCCCTCTGTACTTAAACTGTCCCAGCCCGCCACTTCTCCTCGTTTCCGGTCTTTTTGTCTTTTCCTTCTCCCGCCATTTCTTATTCTGGTCGCCTGTTCCTGGTTCACATAGGACCTGTACCCACTTTTCCCACGCTCCTTTCTTCAGGTCAGAGAGTCGTTGGAGCCTAGTATCAAAGTGATCGTTTGGGAACCCCGTCCTCCGTAACTCCATTTTCAGGGTTAGGAGGGTGGGTCGGGCTTCCATCTTGTTCAGCGTGTGGTCCCAAATCCGGTGGAGGTACCCGGTAATGACCGCCTTCTTGGTTTGTATCGTGGAATAAGACTCGAAGTCTTGTAATCCCTGAAAAACGATCGTTCCCCTCTTTAACAATTCTGGTCCATTAGCCTTTACGGTCGTGCATTGCACCGATGGGGGGAACATCGCAATAAACAGTTCACAGCCCAAAAAAGTCCAGGCCTTCGTACCCCCATCAGCTCTCCTCAAAGTTAACTGATCGTTGTAACAATGCTCAAACTTCTTCAAAATCTCCATGGCCTTGTGTAAGCTTTCTCTTCTGTTAATCTGGAAGGAGATAAACACCGAGACATCGTCAACCAGTCTACATCCTTGGATGAGACGCCTGTCGACACCGATTGACGAGAGGAACGAATTCTCGTAGTAGGCACATCGCAAGCATGCCCGTGCAGGGCTATTGCTCTTGCCCATAGGAATTCCCTCTTTCTGTTGCAGGATCTTCCCAGCTGCCATTATGAATGTATGTCTCAGATCAAATCTGACAAAGCGGAGTAACGTCCCAAAAGGCACAGTCCTCCAGCCTACTTCGCCAGCAGCTTTGCCAAAAGTGGCACCCTTCCCTCTAAGCTTCACCCTTACATAATCGAATCCCTTACTCTCATAGATCTCAACAACCCACTCGACTGCTTGAATTATGGCATCATGTGGTAGCTTTGAGAACATGTCTTTGATATCAAAGCTGGCCGCCAACAATCCCTTCTTCGCCGATCCCAATGCCCCGCTCTTGTTGATTGTCTGGATGCGCCCAATCAGCTGCTGCGTGCTCTTCAAGTTAAAATTTGTGTTCCTTGGCAGGCTCTACAACATATGGTTGATTACCTTACCCACGACTTTGCTCATCCTCCCAGACGGCTCACTATACGATGCTACATGCACTGGGTGTGTCATGTGGTGCATGTGTGTGTCGCTATGTGGGCTGGGCTGTGCTCCCTTCTTCCTACCTCCCTGTCCCTCCAACAAAAAAGAGAACACAAGGAGAATTTGCGGCCAAGGGAAAGAGCCCCAATGTATTTTATGAGTTGGAAAGCCCTTGTTATTCCGTATGGATGTGAACTGAGGTCTGTTTAATAGTGTTTGTCAACAATTGGTGGGTCTACCATTGAGCTACATGGGCTGGGTTTTCTTTCTTATATTTTCTTTTTCGGAAAAAAAATGAAAAGGATTTCACACAGTCAGTCCCAGAGCAATTCCTTGTGTGGTATACATGCGGATGCGTAAACTCTGCAAGTCAGGGCAAGTAAGGATTCAGAGCAGTTTCTTAAAATCAGTTTTGCAAAATCAGTTTAAGTTAAAGCTCAATGCGGATTCTCAGAGTACAGTGCAAGATAAAATCAAATGCAGCTCAGAAAATCAGCACATTTACGAAGATTCACAATAGTTTTCCACTGCAACTTTTACAGCAGTTTTACTGCAAAAGTCAAGGCAATTTTAACAGTAGGCTCAGGGCTTTCTTTCAGTAAAGTCCCGACAATAAATCGGTGTCATTCTTCCTTGAGAAATCATAATGAAGAAAGGATTTCACACAGTCACTCCCCAAAGCCCCGGTCCCAAGGTCCCAGTTGGTCCTGGAGGCTGTCCCAGTGTTGGGCAGCCAAAGTTGGTCTGCCACCCAAAATGGGACATATTCAAGCATAGATTGGTCTGACGGTGGAAATTTGAGGGATGGTGCTAGGGGACGAGCGGTAAAAAAACAGGGTACCTAGTTCGACCCTTGTTTTTTGCCCCTCCATTCTTTGATACTAGACCTGGTGTAAAGTCTTTGACTATAGTATTTTGTCCTACTTCGGACAGACCTTTATGGGTCTATTTTGTCCATACTCTTATTTCCTCTGATACTCGGCTGTGGACGCGCGCCCAGGTTTCTGCATGGGTGGTTTCATGTGACTGAGTCTATGGCGGGAATTTATTTAGTTTAATGCGGATTTTAAAATTCGGGAATGAAATAAAGCACGATAAAAAGGAAATTAGATTTTATGGTTTTCTTTGATGCTCCGTTTTTGTACCGGATTATGTTCCTCCCTGTGGTTAGACCAATTATGACCCATTTTATTTGCCCCATTGCGACCCCTGATTTTTGTGTGCACCTGACCCCGAATTCCCCTGATTTATGCGCACCTGACCTCGAATTTATTGTGTTTATGTAACTTTATGAGTATGTGGGTGTCACGCGGGATCGACTATCTTGGGGATCGCTGCCAGGTCTTGCTGGTTATTTATTATCTTGAGGCTTCAGCCGCGATATGGTCACATGGATCCTGATTCTGGTTATTGTGGATTTATCGGAGGTGTACTTGGTTTACGGCTTCGACGGTGGATATCATGAGTTGCTGCTGTTCGAGGACACCTTTGGCCTCCGGCCTTCTCAATGCGACGTTAGTCCCATTCTGGGGGTGCTGGTTCCGCGTTGGGTATAGTAGCTACTGAAGTGTTATGATGAGAGTCCTGATCAGCTCACCTGGGCAAATGGGCCTAGGATGGCCGGTGACTTGGTTCGGCTCCGTTATCTTAGCCAGGGCTGGGGCTCTATCCGAGGCTGAGTGTCAAGGCTGTTTACCTTTTCAGGATAGTACCGGTGTCAGGCGGCTGCCCAACAGCCGGGAGCTTCTTCCCAAAAAGAAGAAAGAGAACTTGGTCTTTGCTGATTGATTGTGTATGGTTTGGATGTGTGATTGCCTGTGACTGATGGGTTCTAGGGGATCTCAAGGGACAAGCGGCCCCACACTAACCCCGGGCGAAGGGGGGGACGGGGGCTAAGGAGGCCGTAGGCGGGGGCTTGTGGACTGCAAGGATCTGAGTATTGGAAGACCTGACCAGAAGACCGGCCGTGAAGGGACGGACTCTGGGCAACGGCCGGCGAACCCGAAAGAGGCAGGGTGCGGAACGAAGACCACGAAAAGACTAGGGATCGAGGTAAATGTGAGGAACAAACCCGCAAGGGGCCCTATCAGACATCGCATGTTCTGGGCTAAGGCCCCAGCAAGCCGAGTGCCCGCCCTAAGTCAAGGCGGGCCTGAATATTCGTCACAGGCTAAAATTCGATGGTGTTGACAGTCATGTAGATTGGTCTTCGTGAGCCGAAGTGATCCTGTTGTGTGAACCAGCTGTAGAGTAGGATAGTATGGTAGAGTAGGCTGGGCGATGTGTGCCAGACAGAGAGAGCGACTCTGGATACTGTGTTGGTGTGGCCTACGGGCTTGGACATTGGCTCGATACTTCATTGTATTGCTCTTTATGAATGGTTTTCTCGGTGCATTTGTACTTTCTACTTGGGATACTACTACTTGCTCAGCTGT